TACGTGTTTTGATCACTAAAGTAGAAACAAGACTAAGTTATATCAATTCAAATTCTATTAGAATATTGTTACACATATATGACTTGATCGATTTTCCAGATTCAAATTATAATAAATATTCTCTCTCAACGTGCAGGAAACATTCTGTTTTACTATGATTAAAAATATACGAAAGAACAAAACCAAAAAAGCTTGTGATAAAAAATCTCAAAATAAAAAGGCAATTAAAGAAAGTAAGAAAATAAAATTTCTCAAGTAAAAAGTATAGGATCAGTGAAAGAAATCTGAAAATCTGATAGCATTCATTAATTATATTTACCATCTAAAGGTGTGACTGCGAACGAACTAAAGGCGCCTGCAGTTAAACCAGAAAAGAACGAAGTATAAAATGCAGCATTACCACTTCCATCACTAGAACGTGGACCCTAAAATGAAGAACTTTAAAAAAAAGAGTAAAAATTGCATAAATCATTAATATATTTATCTGCGTCAAATAAAAGCTTAATATAATGCTATCAAATAAAAATCCGCAAATATACTAACCAAACTATTGAGATATGCGAATAATGGGAAATATATAATAGAAAATGAAACATCTCGAGCCATTGTTGGACCAACACCTTTGTAAAGACCGAAAATGCCACGGTTTTTTAATAAATCCATCGTTAAGCTAACAGCTGATAGTTTTTCTTTTGGTGATACCTGCCCTAAAATCAATCTTTCTTCAGTAATGATAACAACAACAAATTATTTGCAAAATTAGTAAAGAAGATAGCAAACAATCTTTGAATTAAAAAAGAAACCTGCTGTTCTGCCAGCATCTTGCATTTGAATTTTCAAAAGTTCCATTGGAGTAGTGACAATAATTTGACATAATCCTGCACCACCACCAGCTATCATTCCCCTTGTCATAGAAAGCTGTTTTTGTCCCGGTACAGTAAGGTAAAATCTAAAACAATCGTTAGCAACTAGCTTTATCGCTTTTTCAGGTGTTATAAGCAATAAGTTTACTCCGCTCCCAGAATACATTGAACGCATTTTTGTAAAAATAGTTCTTCCTCCACGGTGCCAGGTTTGCAATGCACAATCAAATCTGCAAAACAGCTCTCGTGCTCACAATAATTAAAAATCAAGAACTTCTCAATAATCATGCTGTTAACATGATAATTTTGATAAATACGCAAATGCAAGTCTCAGAAAAGTATATAAAACAATTTCAAACCCTTATATATAAATCTAATAAGATGAACTTACATCCCTTTGTATTGAAGTACTCCACCGCTTGAAATTTGTTGGTTTTGTAAACGTGTTTTTATTAAATCAATAGGGAAAACACACGCCACACCAACGATACCAGCAATTCCTCCATTGATAATTCTTGGTAAATAACTAAAAAAAAAAATCTAAACAAAGGTGATAATTTTCACAATGGTATGCATGCTTTTTCAATTTGAATAAATTATTCAATTATTCATACCACTCTTCAAACTATTTACAAACAAGTCGGTTGTACTAATCAGTAACAGTCAAAACTAAAAAACAAGTGAAATTTTCAAAATTTTCATACGGAAGTGAAAGATGAACGCTCTAGATTTTATAAATAATTAATTAATAACGATAAAAACCTTACGAGAAACTGTGCGAAGAATCTGTAGATATTTTAGATCTATCCATTTTCTGAAAAAACATGGCGTAATTTAATGAAAATTTACTTGTACCATTAAAGCCTTCAACTAACATTAACAAAGAATCAAATTTCATAAAAACCCATTTTTTCTTTTGAAAAAATTAAACCCTGAAATAACTTACAAAACTTTTCCAAAATTTATTATTATTAAAATAATTAAGTATCAAGCTTGACTGTTGCAGGTGGAAATATGCTTACTAACTGTGAAAATTTAAATTCAATTGAAAGAATACCTCAATTGAAAGAATACCGATTAAATAATAGAAAAAAAAATGAAACTTAGCATTCATAATCATCATGAAAGTCGAAAATTTGTGGGGAGGGCAGGAGGAGAGGGAGCAACAGAAATAGTTCAGAAAGTAAAGAGGAAAAGTCTAAAACTAGCGAAAAATGGAAAATATTACCAACGACGAAATTTAAAGCAAAAATTAATTTATTCTGAAAGTAATGGAAGTGAAAGTTAAATCGTACTAAAATTGAAAACAAAATATGAAAGTTTCAATTTTGTCCTCACTACAACCACTAACTATTCTTCTACACGTATTTTATATTAAAAACTGGCAATGATAGGAATCACTGATAAAAATCGTTTTATGATCATTTTTCAGATAACACAACCGCTAATTGGATACATTTCCGTCTAATGAAACTGTTTTCCTCAACAATACAGTCTTATATTGTCTAGTACTCATCTCAATTCAGCATTTTTCTCAGCCGTTTTTAATCTTTTTTTTTTTTTGGCTATACAAATGGATAAGAGAAATAGGGACAATAAACAACATTGAAAAAGAAGGAGGAGAGAAATATAAGGATGTGAAGAGGAGATGGATGTATGAAACAGTACTGCGTGAAATTTTAAACGATAAAAAAAACTTGACCTGATTTGTCATCGTTTTTGATTGCAACATAATTACATATCAATCGGTAATATTTCAATTGCCTGAAATAATATAATCTTGTCTTTCAAATTGTTATAACACTAACAATAAGCAATACATTTGAAAATATAAAATTGTGGCTAAAAATGATTGCAAAGAAAATTCACTTTTACCAAAACGTGCATTGGCAGTAATTAATATTCAGTTATTATAATGCATTGCGATACAATAGAGGACAAAATATCAGCTAATACTTAAAATAATGTACGTCATATGGGTCAGTAAGTAAAGAGAATACAATATTTTGAATAATTAAAGTAACGAATGGTTGAAAATAAATTAATGCTATGAGAAGTCATACTGTTCATCAAAACAAGAATAATAAATATTGCTTCATTTCACAAGGGATGCACCAACTATCACTACTGATTCCTTCTTAAAAGTTATTAGAATGCCACGCTAAGATTGTGTTAGACCTTTCATGTCCTATATGTATTTCAAGTAAAACTTTTCAAAAAGCAATGATTCATTTGAAACGAAACTATATCAACTACACAATCGATATACCTCGGTAAATTATGAAAAATTCTGTCTGCATGTTTCCTTCCCTCACTACAGTAATCATAAAAACGACTGTCTGACGACTTTGTCTATAGCTTGACACGCATTACTTCCATTACCATTGCGGAACCAGCAAATTAAATGATAAATGTTTATTTTTATGAGTTACTCTTTCTAAACAATAAAGAAACTTGCAAAATGCTACAAAGACCGAAAACGAAGAACTGATCAATACAAAAATCGAATTGATGACATCAAGTTATCAACAACAAAAACTAAAGTTGTGATCAACTTTCTGTACAGCACAAATAAGTAATTCCATGTAATGTATCTCTAATTCCGTGATGCCAAAAAACTAATTTGAAAAATAAGAAACTGTCCTCTGTTCAGCTTAATGTCATTTATTAACAACCTGATTCCATTCACGATTTGAAACACTCATGCTGCAATTTTCTGCCATCGAAACACCCTATTATCAATACAGTGATTCTAAAAACATTGCAACTATCTCTTCTTTGCACCGAACCTTTTACCCAACTAACGCATAGTCGATTTGAATAATCATAAATCTCATAAAATGGCAATACAAACAACGGATTGCAGAGAGCCAACTGATCAAACACATTGACAGAATCCTATAATTTTTACTACAAGGAGGTATAAAAACCCGCAACGATGCAAAATGATACAAAAAAAATGCAAAGCACTAGTTAACAGAACATGATACTTTTTCAGTAAAAATTAAAACTGTTGTTAAGTTAATGATAAATGCACAAACAGTATGTACAAAAAATGTTTAATCCGTAATTTCGACAAAAAAGGTGAACTTAGTAATTACAGAAAGAAAATAACTACAAATCGTTTTAGTTAGACTTTAGTAACAATCACAATATCAATTATGAATGCACTTTCATAATCTGAAAAAAATGTTTTCAGAGATGTTTTTCAACTGTCGAAAAAATATAATTTTCGATTTTGATAGGAATTCATGAAAATATTTTTATTCAGCGTATTAAAATTGATTAAAGCTTGAACTGCACGACACTTTTACATTATTAGGCCAACAAATTAAATTATGCAAACAAGCAATGTTAGTTCATCATGGTTAGTCCCACTTGCAAAAGTGACTAAATAATCACTGACACAAAAAGCTAAGAAAACTAATGCATTTTACTGTACAATTAATATTAATCAACAAGAAAAAAGTAATTATAAATCATTTTTGTTAGGTATTGATAACAACATTGGGTTGTTGTGGAGAGTATATTAATTGCTTCTTTCTTTCTGGTTTTGATGCATCCATCCAAAAAGATGACAGATGCATGCATATGCTATTAATCAAAATACTTGTGGCAAAAACTCCACCAATTGCAGAACAAATGCGTATTAGCATTTGCAGTAATGAGCTGTAAAGGCAAAGTATATTGAGGCTGGTATTGCATTTTACAATACAACTTAATTTTCCTTTATCTTTAAAATTCGATAACACCTAATATATTACAGATGTTTGGTAAATATTATTAAACAGTTAAAAACAACTTACCTCTGGATACGTCTAACTTGGATTACAGTCGCTGCAAATTCATAATAAATGATGATAGCTGTATGCGCATGAATACCTGGTTTCGGTGTTTTTTTCTACAAAAATTTTCCTTCATATGTTTGCCAATAAAGTGAAACGATGTGAACGATTCGTTTACTTGTATTTCAACCCCAGCATTTTCAAATACAAGAGTTTGGATTTTTTCATGAAAGGAAAACTAAATAAAATCTAAGATTAAAAAAGCACACCTTAAACCTAGAAGTAAACCGATTTCACTAAATTGTATAGACAAAAACATGTTCCTCGTGGTACTAAAGATGAAATTCAATAAAAGCAAACCATAAAGGTCACGGAATATTGATAAGTAAGGGTAAAACCACCAAAAAGACCACTGTGATAAATTTTCGTAGGCACAACTTTTAAAAAATAGTGAAATTCATCCAAACCTGAAAAGCCGATATTTGTTGTTAGAACCCATCCAGAATTAAAAAATCTCAAAAAAATTGCAAAAATTAAAGTTTTTGGTTTTAAGTCTAGCATACCGGTACATGGGTGATGACAACTATAAAAATAAATCGAAAATAGATCTGCACCGGCAAATTAAAACAATTATTTCGGATCTAACCAGTTTCAGAAATTTGTTCCACTCCAGCCAATGGAGTAACAAGGCCATGTATTCTGGGACCGAAATTGAAACGCTCAATTCGGTGCGAAACATTTCCTGCTAAAAATAAGCAAATATTTAATGTCTGGTTTTTTAATATACTATAAAAACTGTTAACACTGCAAGTTAAACGAGAATGTAATCATAGCAAATTCTGCAGATGATTTTCAGAAACAGTCCAGTTCTTTTTTTTCATCAAAAACATCCTGAGGGATTTATACAAAGATCTACACAGTATTACCATCAACTGTGAATTCATATGGTTGTCGTCAGAAAAATGATGGACTCTTAGAAGTATTGTCAGCTGCATTTTCATCACATCAAGACATGAAAAACCATGATATTTTAAGCTAAAACCAAACGAATTATTCGTAGTTACAGCGAATGGATAAAAAAACTTACGTTTACCTAGTCCACCAAAGTGAGCGAAAATGCCATCAATACCTACGCCTTTACCCGTAGTAATAACTAAACTATCTCCTTTTACTTTGTTAACTCGAACGCGACCATGAATACGGCAAGCAGTTCCCTCATCTTTTCCTGAATTACCTAAACCCGAAAAAATAGAATTAGAAGTAAATTTTGGAGTAAAATTCCAAGATATATAATGTCAGACGTCGAAACAATAACTGTAAGCTAAATTGTTTTAATATAAAGAAGGTAATATCGCCTTCAACATTTTTGAGTGAATAACAATTAGATACAAATTTGATTCTATGATTGGGAATTAATACAACTGACATAAAAAATCGGACCCAAGTAATATGCGTTATTCATATATTTAAAAAAAAATTATAAAGCAAAAAGCTTACTTGCCACGACGTGGAATACATTGAAACCATTTCCAATTAGTATCAGTGTCCCACCACCTGAAGACCGATCCAAATTTTTTTTTCGATCCAGCTGAATTGCATGTGCTTCTTGACGTTGCTTTGTTTCTGCTTCAGTTTTCAGGCCTTCTTCCACACTGCCACTGATAAAAGTCATCTGAAACATACAAGCCATTAATTACACCAAATCCAATTAATTCGTATTTCATAGAGAATATAAAACAACTTGGCAACTGATTAAACAATCCGAATTTTTAAAAAGAGAAGGAGAAAACTCCGCAATAAATGCTAAACAAAGAGGATATTTTAAATACTTACAAGCATGGAAAGCAGCGTTTTGTAACAATTAATAAAGAACCACCAGATTTCTAATGATCAGCTTCATGATTTGTTTGAAAAAATGAAAGTACTTCATCAAGACTTTTGAACAAAGTAGCTCCTTGTCTAGCATGACGTTGCACTTTTTTCAGTTCATTCCAGTATACTGCTTCCTTTTCCGTAAACTCAAAACGGGTTGGATCACGTTTAAATTCATTCATGAAATTGGATCCATACGAAACAGAACCAGAAAAGTGTGACATGAGGTTCGTACATGGAGTAGCAACTATCATGTCCAATTCCAACTCGGGATGCCTAAAATTTTAGACGAAATAATTTCATTTAAAGCTCTTAAAAATAACTAAAACTAGATGCAGGAATAGATGTCTACTGTACTTCGGGGATGCTGTCAATTCTTTCTGTTTAGTGTTTTGTTAAGAAAGATGTTCTTGGAGGTTTATAAACTATAATTAATCTGAATTTTTCTTCGTCGAGTTTATTTCATGGTCAGTGTTCGGAAATTTGCAAGGCTAATCATAGTTTTATACCTATTATTTTGAAAGTAACATTCGAGTTTGGGGCTGATGTTTGAAATTTTTCTTCTTATCTCTTTAATTAATTCTTAAAAGTTGTAGTTCAATAGAAATTAGGGAGTTCATTGCTTTAAATTTGATTTTATGGTATTGCATATCAGTAAAAATGGTTTTTACTTTTGTGAGTAATAGAACTAAAGTGTAAAAATTATCTTCTGTTGTTATGAAATTAAAAATGTTTTTTTTGGGTCGAAAAAACGCATTTATTTTCGGTTTTTTGAGGGGTTATAGTTTAGTTTTCGAGATTTTTTTTAATTAATAAGGTGAGTGATGTTAATATGAAGTTAGCTGATATGCTTTATTAAACTTAATTCTTCAATTTTTTTAAAATTTTTATGTAATGTTAGTATATTTTTATTTAGGGTTTGGTTTTGTTGTGAATCAAATATTATGAATAACAACTGCAAAAAGCATTAAAGATAATCACGATTTGTGTGCAAACATCAAAGAACTAATCTGCTTACTCGTTGAAAGCCGTATCCACGGAAAATTTATAATCGTGTCTTTCTTCACCGTGAAGAAAATTCCGAACTTCGCTAATTACTAATCCTCCGATAATGAGAAATGATATGCTTGCAACTATAAAAAGTTATTTTAATTAAAGTAGCGAATAGGGAATTTTAAACAAATTACATTCAATTACTGAAACTATCTTTTCCTTGTTGAAAAATCACAGTTCTACATTTAATAATTATGTGATGATATACAGGTATGTAAGTAACTTTTAAGGATGAAAGTAAACGAAACGAATGAAAATAATGTGGTTGCTGTCACGTTTTTTCTTAATTCACGTAGCATAAATAACAACAAGCAATTAGTTCTGCAGCATGAATTGAGAAGAGACTTACGGAATCCTCCAGATGCTCGTTTTTCTTCTTTGACTTCATCTACAGTTTTGTTGAAAGCATCAAGATCTCGAACAATTTCTTGTACCGTTGGACGTCGATGACGGAGTGTTGTTTCTTGCAATAACAGAGACATTATTACTTCCACCTAAAAACCATATAAAATAACCATTGTAAATATTACTTGATTTTATAATTCATCATATTTATGACCGAAAGATCGCAAGGGAGACAAAACCAGTAATTAAATTCAAATCATCAAAGTTCCTACAGAAAAAACGCCCAGGTTTCTCTCAAAGTAATTTTTGAGTAACTGGAAGTCAAAATAATTTGGAGATGATTTGCAAAATTAAGTGTAGTGAGCGTTTTTACAAGCTGAGAAAGAGTATGTTGCAAAGAGAGACAAAAGAAGTTTTAAGAACAATAAAAAGACTATGATAAAGAATCGAAAAAGAATGATATATAGCAATTATGCTACACTTGCAAACACTGTTCGCAAATCGACTATGTTCCTTAGAAATTGATTAGTTTGTTAAGCGATCAGTTAGAGATGATTGTGGTTGGGTAAAGTAATTTAGTCCAACGTGTATGCAATCTGTGCAATGATGTGATACCTTAATGCTTACATCCTTTTAAGAAAAGCAATAATTTACACATATATTGGTAACGTATTGAAGACTGATGCTTAATAATTGCAAACTTGCACGTGACTCTCGTACGTGATGGTTTCTTTTCTCTGTTATGGTTAACTCATATAAACTAATATTTTGTTGAGAATGTTGAATAATCTTAGTGAATAAAAGATGTTTTTCTTTTAAATCTTAGAAGTCGGCAAGTTGGAGGAGTTGTCATTTGTTTTCTATAACATTCACTTTTTTGTGTTAAACACATTTTTTAGAACGTTGGAAATTTGTATTCGTTACGAGTATTATGGGCAAAGTTTGCTTAATTTAACGATTACTGATGTTGCACTATACATTTGTGCATTAACTGATATTGGATATTTCAGAATTAAATGAAGTATCTGAAAGCCCATGCAATGTATTAAAGTCTAGTTCCAATTTTTTATGCACTGGAAAGGAAAGGTACATATGAAGACACTTGAGGGGGTTTATTATGAATATATATATATATATAATTTTAAAGTCTTTGGAAGAAATGAATATTAGAAGTCATGTTCAAAGATGTAAACACATTTAATTAGTTATTACGAAACAACTAGCAAGAGTAGTGCAATGTAACCATTTCATTATGTGAACAAAAATCTCATTATCTCTTAACTGAATATTTAGTAATGGAGTTTTGAGCAATATATGTGCCAATCACTACGGAACTAAATTTTTCTAACTTTCGTTTGTCTAGCCGAATTTTGAATATTTGCAACAATGGATTATATTGAATCACTGCAAAAATTATGTCATATGCAAAATTGTTGATTCAGTATTATGTTTGAAATAATTAGTGTTAGTTTCCTAAAGTTTGGTTCCCTTTCAGTTCTGGTTTTATTCATATTTGCATCTTGTCAACTTACCGAATCTGAAAAATAAAATTGATATAACAAGTTCAACATTCTCATAAATTATTGACGGAAGTTGATTAAGTCATTGTGATTTCATGACTTTCAATAAGAAATGTTGGATTCTAGGTGTTGCAACTTCATTAATCCATTGAAATTTGCGACGTAGATATTCGATGTGTGGTTTCATATATTGCCCCCAATCAGGAACAGTATTTATGAGCCACTCGAGTTCGTTTGATGACCGTACTGAATGTACTAACATGTGAGCTACTTGTGTTGTTTGCTCGTTTTCAATAGCAAACAGGAATTTGCGTTCTGTTAATGGCATTTCAGCTATTCTGTTCCAGAAAATCGCCCGAAATTTCTCATTATACAGTAGTGTAAATTCGTTCTGGAACAAGTTATCATGAAGAATACAAATGTAAATACACATACATGTCTAGTTGTAAACTTCATTAGTAATAATAATTTAGCAAGACTTTTTTGTTCAAATGATGTAAAAAATATCACTTGCAACATTGCAGTATATACAGCAGCATTTCGTGTTGCAATAATTTGAGTAACAGCTTTCTGAAGTATTTGCTCATTTCGTACACAAGTTGCTAACTGTAGTGTTGTTGTCCATTTTCCACTAAATTGTTTCAAACCGTTTTCAATCAAATCATACTCTTCTCTCGTACCACTTGTGAACAGATGATGACAGATTGCGGTCATTTGTGAGTAGTGGTCACCATCTGCTAAACCACCTAATTTCCTCCACTGTTCTACCTAAGTCAAATTTATTGCACAATTGCACAAGTTAGAACTAAACGCATTTTACTCTTACTAAAAATGCTATTATATAATACGAAGGTTTAATTTTGAGTTTTTTTTAGTCTTTCAAATTTGTTATAAAGTAAAATAGAAATAAAATATTGGTAAACTAGCAACTAAGCAGGCAAACCTTTTCCTTTAGGTCACAGGTAGATAAATTCACTGCGCATCGAAGCTTGTAAAATTGAATCAACCGATTACCGTCAAGCAACCATAAGGCAGCTAATTCAGGTTTTGTTTTAGTATCATCCATTACTTTATCAAGCCATTCAGTCACCTAAATCTCTTTTTTTAAATTAGTGCAAGAGTTCTAGTGATGTTGCATTTGGTACAACATCTGTAACTATTACTGCAACTTACAATGAGATTTATTGTTGTTATACTGAAATAAAATTTTTTTTAATAAATAAAGTAAAAGGTTATGAAAGTTCCACATACACGCTTAAAAAATATCAATAGTAAATTGCTAATTGAACTTCCACGAAACATATCGAAAAAGCGGTATAATGCATCCAAACCAAACAACAATAGTCCTATATCAGTTTCTTTGGTAAGATAACTAAAATATTTTTTGTGTAACAACATATCAAAGTGTCGGCAAAATTATGTTAATTTAACATAAGTAAAAAATTATTACTGAATATTACCTTAGAATGTACAAATATATTTCGGGTACTCCCGATTGTTTGAGATAGAACTCAGAATCGAGAATCAACTGCATGCGAGAATATAATGGTATAGACAAGTGATTTTCATGTAGCTGTAAAATTTTTTTTAATAATTTTAAATAATAAATCTTATTTTTTGCATCCAAGCTAATTTTTGAATAGGAAAACCCTTTTTTTTCTTACCGTTGCTGCTAGCATTTTCCAATTTTCAATATCATAATTGACACGATAAGGATATTTCCAGTTGACATTTGCTAAAAATACTCTTGAACCTTCTTGTTCTTCATCCGTAAACACGATTGTTTCATTATGTAGCCAAATTTCTCTCACGGTTTTCCATGAAATTGAATAAATTTTTATTCAAAGAGAGTAGAAAACTTCTTTAAAATGATCTCTTAGATAATGATTAAAGCATAATACCATGAAAAGCATTTAAAGTATGCATGCTCATATTGTTTAGAGTAAAGGTATCATATCAAGTTTAAGTCTACGGAAAATCACTAAAATAACAAAATATTTACCAAATGGGTTTTTCTGTGAACCTAACTCATAAGTAAATGGTATGGACCAAAGTTGTTTGTGCTGCCCTATTCGCTCCTTTCCGTTTCTTTCTTGAAGGCTGCGACTTTTTATTCTTCTTCCAATAAAGTGGTGACTACCAACCTACCTTTTTAAACAAATTTTATGCAAAAACAATTCATTGTTGTAAAAAAAATTAATTTTATTTACGCTTCCAAGACCAAAGTAATGCATACAAATATAAATAAACCAACAGTTAATTTGCGTTCTAAGCGCAGTTTCTTCATAACAATTTGCTTATTCTTTTTCTCACTTCCAGCTGAGAGTGATTTTATTTTTAAGTTTAAACCGTGTGCTTTTTTCGAACGATCTACAAAACCTTGATTAAAATAATTTAATGAACAGTAAATCTAAAATGATATTTTATTCAGAATTTATTTGACAAATAATAAAGTATTAATGCAAAAGCGATATATTTTAAGCCGCAAAAACATAAAAAAGTTATTTAACAAAATTTTACTTATTCTGCGACCTATTGTTTGCGAACTAGCATAAATCTTATCTATCCATTCTTTTTTCACCCTCGTATTACGTAAATAAATTACATAGCGATTTTGATCAGATGGTCGCTGAATAAGACGCGTGCTGCCAAACTTGTAGTTTCGACTTTAATTGAATTATCAGATAAAATTTTATGAAGAAATGATAAATATACTAGTTATTATGATAAATTACAGTACGATGTCAATAAATGACGGGTATATATTGAATGTAAAGAAAAAATTTAGGCAGATTTCGTGATGAATATAATATAATGATAATTAGAATTCATTATTCAAGTATTAAAAGTGTATGTACCGATTATTTTCAATTAAGATTTGTTTATTTCATGCAATCTTTGAAAGGCAGCTATTGGATAATTCTAGATTTATATAAATTTTTAAGAAAGAGAAAAAAATAACGAATAATGAAGACATCATTTAAATTTTCCAGAATTTGGTATGAAATTTATAACTATTAATATTTATTACTGAATTTTTTATTTCATTATTAATTATTGCATTAAATAATCTTATGTATAGTTTAAGTTTTGTAAATGTTAATAGAAGATAATTTTTTGTTTGAATTCACATACCTTACGATTACCTCAGGCATTCCATTATTCAGAAGCCAAGATTCTATAGCATTTTCAAGCTTTATGCTTTCTAACCCATGATCTGTGAAAGCTGGCATTGCTCTCCATAATGCAGATCGTCCAACGCTTTTGTAAGCATTTGTTTTCAAAAACCTAAAAAACTATCAAGAATAGATCACAATTGGTAACTTTCATTCAATTGCATAAATTTTGTTGAATAGAAAAAAGTGCATAATAAATAAATAAATACCTTCTGACACCTTCTCGAAAGTTATTCTCACCAACTAAATCGTGTATCATTTTCACTATAACAGCTCCTTTTGTATACAAATGATATGGATTAAATGCATTCTCCACTTCTGCTTCCGTTTTGAAATGTTTGATTAACGGTACTTTTTCGTTTGATGTCTGATAAATTATAAGTTGTATTTATTCATTTTATCACTATTATATCTTGAAATTTTAATGAACAAAAAATTATTCAAAACCTGTTTTGTTAAAAGATGTGAAAGTTGTAAAAAATATTCGTTTGTAGCCAAAAATGGATGTTGCTTTTTCAAAAAATCATTTACATAATACGATGCAAAGCCTTCGCTTAACCAAAGTTCTGACCAATCATTTATTGTAACCAAATTTCCAAACCTTAAAAAAATATATGCGAATTTGTAGAAAATAGCTGAACTCAATTTATTATTTTTCTAATATTTCAAATATATTAATATTGATTGATATATACTTACCACTGATGAGCAAGTTCATGTGTAATGATTTTTTTGATATCATACTGCTCAGCTAGTAAATCCACTGTCATATTTGAGCTACCTTAATATTGCTTATTAAATATCATTGATTCAGTGTAAAGTAGTAATCACTTGTTAAATATTTAGAATCAAATCAACACGCAACCTTTTTGAAAAAAAAAATTTGCAACAATAGTTTAATTCTTACACATATTTCATGGAAAAATTTTTAAAAACTTACTTTCATATAATGAATCTAAAAGAAACATTTCATTCTGAAATACAATTAACCCCCAGTTTTCCATTCCACCAACTGGAAAAGAAGGAGCAGACACGAAATCAATTTTTGAAAGAGGATATGGAATCTAAAAACCATAAAAAATTATTAAAGAGCAGCTTTAGATGAGTGCGTGATTTTCTATTTTAATATATTGTATTTGAAGTAAGCATATATTTTTTAGCGTAGTTTTTTTATCTAAATTTTATTGACTTTCAAAAATTGATAATTCAATTAAAAGCAATTAAATGCCTTATCTAAATTTTCATTAATTTTAGATGGTTTGGAGAAAAATTCCATGTTTGAATATAAGAAAAATTAAAATATTTACTGGATTAACGTTTTAACTTACGACAAATTCTTTTGCAAGTTGATCAAACATATATGGAGAGAAGTCTGCTGCAAATCTCGCGTGAATAAGATTTTCTGGAAATGCCCAGATTTTTAGTGGAACATTATGTTCCGTATTTCGTTCCAAACTGCTGTAAGGACCTTGAAAAACCATGTTCATTTCATTATTTATTCTAAACATTACTTAGAAGTCACACACATTCTTTCAAAATTTAATGACAAGCTTAGTTTTTTCGAAAAATTCAATTTGAAAGTATAAAAAAATGCAAAAGTGACCAAAAGTAAATGCGAGCAAAAAGGTTGAAATTGGAGGAGTTTCTTGAAATTTAGTTCGTACGAAGGATCGTCGTTGCTTTTTCTGAACTTGCATTGGTGCTTCATTTGATAAGACTGTGATAGAAGTTGAATGTAATATACTGATATTGAATGTTGCCTTAAAAATGCTATGATTTCAAAAATAAATTATTCGTTAAGAATTCATGCATTTTTGATTTTTAGTTTTGAATTGAGAAAAAAACATCTAACTAAGTGAAAACAGCTCGTAGCACTTTCAAAATTTTTAATTAAATTATCATTTGGTTCAATTAATTTTCGTTCCGTTAAATGTAATATCTAACTTGTATCAAATCAGTTAATGCCTCTTAGTTTTTGTTTGCACATTACTGACAAACAATTAAACTCTTTTTTCTAACATTTTCCAGTACAAAATTTACTCAACTACCTTCCAGTTTGGTTCATCCCAGCATGGTAAAAAAGTTCTGGCTAATGATGGTTCGAATTTTGTTGTAAAACTAATAATTGGTGCACGCTGGCTCACTGATAATTGATCAGCACTCTGAAACACTTTTAAGTCGATAACTATATAAAATAAAGGTAATTTAATGAAACTTATATAATAAAATATGTTAAAATAGTTGTTTTAGTGTGAAAATATAAATAACATTCATAGCATCATATTTAATTATGAAAAATCAAAAACTATACTATTCTAAAATTTTGATATGCAATCTTTTTTTTTTGTTGTTAAAATATAAATATTCAAACTTCTGGTACTTCACTTTCTATGCTGCGATAGCATTGTACTCCTCCATCGTTATCACTGCAAATGTTCGTTATGAATTGCATTTCCAGTGCATACCTGCAATATACCGGCAATATGTGTTATCAGGTAATGCATTGAAATCGACCTCTGAACTCTGCTAAATAGAGTTCCACATTATCGAGAACAAAAGCGAACCATCCATGTTTTAAAGGTTGCTTGAGTAGAAGACGAACTATTCTTGCACGCTGATCACGTTTGAATGATTCAATGCCAACATTTCTACCTGAATTGCTTGTCTTCAGTAAATTATAAAATAATGGACTAAAACCAAAAATTTGCTGAATTTTATTCCATTAGACATTTTAATTTGCTTTTACCGTGTTAAAAACTTTCAATTAAAAAACTTATGGATTAATTTCATAAAAGAATTACAAAATGATATGAATAAACCTCTCTGATGCAGACGTAACCTGTCAATATGCACGTTTGTTGCAGCGTGAAAAACAATTTCAGAAGGCGTTGTAGAATTTCCAAAAGATTCAATTAATATTGATACATTACCAAAAATTTGCTCTTTTGAAGTAACATGAGTAAAATCTAACTGCAAGAAAAAAGCAGTTATTACTAATGCATGTTTTTATTTGGTTATCAAATTTTTGAATTGACTTGAATATTATTTCATTTTACATTCATGAAAAAATTTCTAAAATAATTATTTGCTATTGATTGATTTAAAATTAATAAATAATTGCATAAGATTATGATCTATAAAAAAGCACAAAAAAACAACATCAAGATTAAAGACTAAATTTAAAAAAATTAATATTGATACTAACATTTGTTTACAAAGTCCTGTACCCGAAGAATAAAGTACAGTACCTGAAGATTATAATGTACAGGTCGAAGTGTCCTAGGCAGTTTAGACAGAGGTGCCTTTCGCTGCTTTCGAGCGGCAGCATTGTTTGAAGAAAAATGAAATGCATTGGAGGGTATAGAATTCAAAGCAGGTGGATATACATCCATTAGTAAATTAATCTTCGGTCCGACCCCTTTCACGAGTTTCTATTACTTTTATTAATTAAGTAAATACAAATATTAAAATTTCAGCCATGTTAATGTGTAAAATGTTTTTACATTTTTCATTCAAAAATTTTTTAAGGCACTATAGTGATTATTCCAAATTTGTCATATTTAAAGCTTATCTATTAATTTTTTTTAATGTTTTCAAATTAATAAAGCTCGTTTTAAGGTCTCGCTAAACAGAAAAACTAAATATTTGCACATGACCAAGCACAAGACTTTTTCAGAAGACTTTCTTAGTTAGTGTACGGCTGTATCATCTAGAAAATATGTATTCTATAAATTATGCAGCCACTGTTCATGATGAATGAATAGCGGTTGATTAGAAGATGAAATATTGAAGAACTATAGTACCAAGACAGCTTCGGAAGTGTTCTTTGGTAGAATAATACTGGAACTTGAAGTTGTGATCGGAGCACTGCTCAAATTCGCTATCTTCAATATTTGCATAAATTTTTATTATAGATAATACATAGAACAAAATTATTTTTAATTTAATAGTGATAGAATTAAGTATAGCTTTGACTGATGTAATTAAGTATGTAAAACACCAAAAACAGATAATTTTTTAGTTAGAAATTACAACAATATACGGTATAAATTCTCTTTTTTAATTAGTTTGTGCTTAAATTACAGAGCATGAAGTTTTTGGATTTTATTGGAGTAATTTTATGCGTTATTTACAGAAGCTAAGTCATAAAAGTATATAAACACAGTAGTAGAGCAAAATTTTTGCACTACTTGATACTCTGTAGTGTGATTCTCAAAATGACCTATTTCAATTAATAAATTTCAAAAATTTAAGATTAAAATTGAAATTTAATCACAAATGAATACAAGCAATAATTCCTTGAAAAATTTTGAGAAGAGAAAAAAAATGGTAAAAAATTTTGTGATAAAAATGAAACTATTACTTGTTTACTGGTATTTTTTTCTGGTTTAGCAGCCCAGTGTCCTACGATGAATGCCAGAAATACACCAAACACAAACACAGCCAGCATCAAGCAAAACAAAATACATCTTCCCAACAAACTTGGATGTTTTTCATTAATGATTGAGCATCGTGATGGCAAGCTATCGAACGTACCTTAAGTTCACTTCTTCATTATACACTATTTTCGATTTAATGAATTAAAAGTACGAAAAAATCAAAATTAAAATTGAAATCTCTTTACGCATAAATACAAGTTCTTAAGCAAATTATTTTTCAAATTGATTGTTATCATGAAAATGACAAAGTGAGCTATAATTCATGCATATTTGTAGTAAAATATCAAGCCTGGTGAGATAATAACTGAATTATTATCATTGATAATCCATGGATCAATGTCTCCATTTGGCGAAGTTTTCAGCGAACTCCGCTCACTAGCCATCGACTACTAATTTTGAAGACTGAAAATCGTATTTTTTTTTAAAGCCAACAAAGTAAAGCTATATGAACTGCAAATGAGATATGAGTAAAATAAAATCAAGATAGATTATTACAGAGCAATATAATAAGCACAATATCCTTTTTCATAAGATATATTTATGCGAGAAGTTATTCTATAAAAACATGGATAACTGCATGTTTAGAGCGAATGCTTTAAATGCCAAATGTAGTAATCTCCTGATGATTTAAGCAACCTTTTTTATTATTTACAG